GGATCAAGAAAGAAAAAAAAAAGAAATCCATATTTCCTGCTCGCTAAGACAATTTTGGGACCTTTGGGGAGCCTTCGTCTCTCCGTGGTGGGTCACAGCGTAAGGGAAGGAGCGGGATGCTTGGACTTTGCCCGATTTTTGGAATTTTAATAGAAAGCAGAGGAAAGCTGGGAGCTTTCCATCGCGGAGGGAAAGGCTGCTCTCTGCAGGCTGCGAGTCAGCACGAGACGCCTGGGCTGGCTCTTGTACAACGTCCAAAAGCCCAAAGCCAGAAGGTCCCTCGAGGAGCGGCGTTAGCCAATAATTTAATTAAATTCTTTTCTCATATATATTTTTATTAGCAAAAAAAAACCCCACACTGGGAAAGTACTGGGATGGACAAATCAAACAGATTTGGGAATGGAATAAGCGGGGTGGGGGAACAGCAAGGCTCCTGGGTAGGGCTTGTTTTGGGGAGGGCTTGGGACCCCCCTTTGCCACGGCAGTGACGTCGAGCAGGCCCAGGGCTGACGTGACATTTATTTGCCTCCTGTCCTCCCCGTATAACTGCATTTCACACCTTTATAATTGTCAAGTATCACATAAGAGAGCGGAAAAAGCAGAGAAGTTTCCTCCTGAGAGCATCTTCCGCAGGCAAATGACTTCGATCCCTTTGCTCTTGGAAATTATTCAGATCTCAGTTAAAAAAAAAAAGATATATATCCCTGCTTCCATTTCATTACTGGCACAAAATTGGCTGAATTCAGCTGGAAGAGGGTTTTTTTTCCATCTTCGGATCAATATTTCACCTGACGCTGATGCACTTTGCATCCAGGGGGAGAAATCCCACGCCGGGCTTAGGATCCAACCATCAATCTCAAGTGGATGCTGAGTCAGCATTTCCACCCATCGCTGGCTCATTGGTTATTAATCATATATTTCTGCTTGTAAATCTGGGAATTTTAAGGCTGGAGGAGAAGCAAAGATGGATTTCTACTGATAAATCTGGCTGCCAGCTCTGAATTTTAAGGCTGGAGAAGAGAAGACGGATTCCTGCGGATAAATCGGATGCTCAAGAGCCCCAAAATGCTCTTTTTTGAGAGGGAACCGGCACACCGGAGAGCATCGCCGCGTGCGGAGAAGCTCCGGCATCGTCCTACCTGCTCCGCGCTCATTTTTAATAGGTACAGACCACCCCGTTCCCACTTAACCTCTCAAACAATTCATTTAATTATTCCCAAACAACACGCAGTGGGTTTCAATTAGAGGCTAAGGCGCTTGCCTCGACCTCCGGGAAAATAATAATCATAAAAATAATAATAAAAAATGGCAACGAACAAATGAGGGCATTCACCGGGGTTGAAGAGGGTGGCTGGATAATTGCTCGGTGTGTACAAATTGAGATTGAATAAGGAAAAAAAACCAACCTCTCTGCTCGCCGTTGCTGGGAAAAAACCCTCGTTTGCACAGGGAAAAAAAAAAAAAAACCTCCTCTGCTTGTTAAATGAAAAAAATAAATATTTAAGCGTTAAGCTTTCCTTGGGAGAGCTCAGCCCCTGTGCTTTCGAGATCGTCCGACTTCTCCCATCGTTAATGAAAGGAGTTGGAAGAGGTGGTTTGACGCAGGGTTGTTTGGTTCCCAAAGAAATGGCCATCTCGATCTTACCGGCTTGTTTTTATCCAGGAAAGGCAACCTCAGAAATTCAGCCTAGAAAGAGAAGAGGCAGGTAATTAGTCGGCAGGGTAATTAGCCATTGGTACAGGCTAAGATGTAGGAAGTTATCGTCTCCGTCCCCGGGGGGGCGGCTTTTAACATCGGGTTTGGTAGATGAAAATAAAAAGGGAAAATGGTTTTCTTGGTGGGAACGCGTGCCGACGGACTTGTGCCATCTGAGGATGAGGCTTGGCTTGGGGGGCGGATGCTCGGGAACAACCTTCAAAGGAGCTTCGTGGGCAGGACGGGGACGGCCCGGCGGCGGGCAAAGAGCAGGCAGCAAGGGAAAAGGCTCCTGCCAGGGCAACCGAGCTCAAAACCCCACGTTTAGCCAGAAGAGAAAATTATTTCAATCATTAAAAAGCAAGAAAAAAACCAGGGGAGAAAGGAGGTTTTGTGCATCAGGGTGGGAGTGCGGCATTACTGGCGTCGTTACAGACTCTATAGGTGCCATACGGTGGAATTAGGAGGATTAGCGCCTCGCTCTTGGTCTAGCCTTCTCCGGAAAGACGAAAAATCAGGATTTCCCCCCCAAATCCTTCCAAAATCCTGTTCTCAGCCATCCCCTCCCCTGCGCCACGAAGGCCGGGAGATGGGGACCGCCGACTGCTCCGCCGAAGCAGCCTCTAAGCGGACGAGCACGGCACGCGGCGCGCCAGCCCCCGCCTCGATCCGCCCGTTCCGTTGTCCCGACTGAAAATTAAAGCTCACCCAGCCGTCGCTGTGAGGTTAATTAACGGTAACGAGCGACGGCCAGGTACGCAAGGCCCTTCCCAACCCACTACAAGAGCCGTTCGCCTGCGTCTCGCTCGCAGGGGCAGAGACACGGTGAAGAGCAGCGTCTCCAGATTAAGTCTTGTGCTTTTAAACAACTTCTTAAAGTCAAGGTTAAAGCTCAGGTTTTAAGGCAGCGCCGCGATGTGGTCGAACCTTCGCAGCGAGGACAGATTGCTGATGGTCAACCTGGTGGCCACCGGGACCCCCGGATGAGGTTGCCCCATCATCTGGGTCATTAAGGATGGCGGGGACCAGGCTCAGACCCAGGACTGAGCCCCCCGAGGTTACACCAGCAAAACCAGGGCACGAGCGTGGTCTGATTTGATCCCGAACATCCCAGGGTTACCACAGGGATGGGAATTCGGAAGAGTTCATTAAAACCCCAGCATTTTCCTCGCGTAAGACTTGAATTTGTGGCTTTCAGCAGTAAAGTAAATTAATCCCAATTCTTTATGGCCGCGGCAGCCTTATTTAATTTTCTGTTACGTAAACGATTTGCTCTAAGCTCAGTTTAAAAGCAATAAGGCTTTGCCGGCGCATTAACGGCAAGAGGGATATTGTGTTTTCTTCGGGAGCGCGGTCAACAGCCCGAGCTGGTTTATGTTTTATGAGCCCTAACGATTATTGCTGAGGGCTGTTGGGTTCTTCTTATGAAGGTGAGAATACGAAATTTGATTTATTGAAAGCTGAGGAGCGGCTCCGGGCTGGTTGTAGGTGGCATTTAGTGGGACCGGGTGGCCCGGAGAGAAGCTAAAGTCCCCCCGTGGCACGGGAACCGGGGACCAAACGGCCGTCAGCATCCTGGAAAGCAAAGCCCAGCTTTTTGGGGGGAAAACCGGAGGTTTTCAGAGCATCTTACACATACGGGACCAGAGCGGCGCGGACGTTTGGCTTCCAGAAACCTCAGCCAGGCTTTCAGTCACCCTCCGCCGCGCAACCTAACAAGGAGGGAGAAGAATTGGGGCTCCCGTAGCCGAAACCAGCAAAGCCGAAGCCAGCTGATGCCCGTTGCCATGGCAGGAGCATCTCCCGTCCCGCCTCGCTGCCATGGCAACAGGGACTCGTTAGGAGCATCACCCCCCCGCCGCTAAACTGGGGGAACCGGCTCGCCCCGAAAGCGAGCGGAGGGGCAGGCAGCTGCCCGCAATAAAAGCTCGAATTAAATTCCACCCGTCCCCAACCACATCATCGCCTCGGCAAATCGCCTGCTTAATTAATTTCCGCAAGCGCTACGACACCGCCAGCCGGGAATTACCTGCGCCCGAGCGGTAATTAATTGCAGATAAACCCAATCGAGAAGGGGAGGACAAACAGTGAGGCGCAAAGGGTGCGAGCTGGGAGGAGAAAGGAGGAAAAAGGAAAAAAAAAAGGGAACCAAATCAATTTAAAAAAGGAAAAAAAAGGGACGAGGAAGCACTCAGCATCCTTCTCGGTTTTTTCTTTTCCCCTCTGCCACCTATTTTACGGCGAGCCCTGGCGATCGTTAATTCCTTACGGAAAACCACGGGGCTTAAAGAAATTTAAAATCCCGGGAAACTTTGCTCTTGGAGCAGCTTCTTCCCCCAAAGCGTCTCAAGGCCGGTTAAACCACGCTTATTTATTATTTTCTTCGCCTGGTGAATAAAATGCAACATCCCAGAGAGCTAAAAATACCATCGAATCGCTTTAATTAGAAGGGGCCCCGCTAATAACCCTGCTTGAACCTAACGCAGGGCACGGGCTGATAATTAATGCATCTAAAATGGGTTTAGACAGGCGAGAAGTTCCTGTCGTCGCGGCATTTGCCTCCGCAGGGCGTGTGTGGGCGCAAGCCGCTCCGGATTTGCTTTTCCCCAGGCGTTTTCAGCCCCCAAAAAAGTGCGTCGGGAGCCAGCCACGATTTCTGAATCGTGGTAAGGCGGCGTCTTCTCGCCGCGTTGGGAGCGAGCGGCCTCCGAAAGGGCTGCTCAGGTCACTTGTTGTGAATATTGGGGGGCGGTTTTTTGAGTCCTGGTGGTGGTAAAGTCCTGGCGTGGGCTCCTCCGGCGCTTTTCCCGTGGGATAGAGCAAGAAAATGATGATTCTATGATTCTCGGAAACGACGAGGCAGGGATGAGGCCGGTATAGGAGTGCCACACGCTGGCCGTGCTGCGCCAGGCAGCGTCGCAGGCCGGAGACCCCGCAAACATCCCTTGTCCTGCAGCCCCCGGCTGCATCTGGGGGCGCAGACACCGAACCGGGCGCTGGTTTTCTCCAAAAACCTATTTATTTACATGGTTTTTTTAAAAAAAAGGGAGGGAAATCAGGTTGCCGCTACCCGAGGACGACTGACAGCATCAGCGATGGGCTGCAGGAGCCACCAGGAGACCCCTAAACCACCAAATTCCTTTCGGGATCCAGTCAAACTCACCCGAGAGTAACGGAGGCAGCAGCGTAGGGGGGCTTCCCCCCGTTACGGGGGTCCCCTGGTTATGGGGGGGGACCCCAGCAGCGCAGTGCTCGGCACCATCTCCGCCGCCGGCTGGGGAGAGCATCCCGGCGAGCATCCCCGTCACCGGTGCTGCTTCTTGTGCCGAAGGATCTCCGTGGGGGTGAAGGTGAAATCCTGCCGGCAAAGATCGCAGTAGTAGGATCTGTGGAGGGCGGAGGTTTTGGACGAGCTTTCGGATGCTTCTTCCAGGGGGGCTGTGGGAAAAAGCAGAGAAAAACCGGGATCAGAAGGAAACCAGAGCCCTGCAAGAGCCTTTTCTTCCCCCAAAGCACCCCCAAAACCTGGCCCTCGGTAGCATTTCGAGGGGCGCACGTAAAAGCCGGCGCAAGCACAGCCGGGCTCGCCACAGCCCACGGAGCAGAGATGCCACCCCGCAGGGAAAATCCAGGCTGGTTTTCCCCGATTGTCCCTTGTCGCAGCCCCGGGAAGGGACACGCGCCTCACCCTCGGAGGGTCGGCAAGCGTTTTCGTGGCACATGCGCTCCAGCGGGGTGAAGGGCATGTGGAGATCGCAGTGGGGACACGTCCAGAAGCTCCGCAGGCAGTCGCTGTAGAGGTCCGTGTCCGTCTGCGGGATACAAAGGGAATGTTCGGACTCCCCCGGGGGGGTGACAGGCAGAGCAGGCAGGGCGGGAGAGCGGGGTACTCACGGCCAGGCAGTTGTAGGTGAGAAAATCCGTCACCCTGTGGCCGCCCTTCACCTCGTCGGGTTTCATCTCCATCCCCTGGAAGAGCCCCGGGAGCCGGGGAGCGGCAGCCCCGCCCCGGGGAAGCGCCCGGGGAGCGGGGGAGCGGCAGCCACGGTTTGGGGACCGATGTAGAGGTTCTGTTTCTCCAGCCCGGTGAGCTGGCGCAGGCGGTACGGCACCTGCGAGAGGACGCGGGGGCGTCAGGGGGCCGCACCAGCTCCCCTCATCCTCCTTTCTCAGCCTTCGACGCGATGCGAGGCGCCGGAGATGGATTAAAACCGCGCTCACGGCCACATCACCTCCATCTGCAGGAACTCCAGCAGCCCCCGCGTGAGCGCGGATACGTCCCGGGAGCTCGGCCGGCAGCCCGACTCCTCTCCCCGACCTTCCAGCAGCTGATGGAGGAGTTTTTCCCAGGCGGAGCGAAGCTGCAGGGCCTTGGAGAGCAGGCGCAGGGCAGAGTCCGCATCGGGGACGGTGATCTCCAGCCAGCCATCCGCTACCAGCCGGGCGCAGTCCGCGCTGGTGTCCAGCGAACGGGAGAAGAGCAGGAGAGCCTGGAGGAGCAAAACGCAACCGGTTTGGGGTGATGAAGGTTACCGGAGGGCTTGGAGAGGAAGAGGAGGAGAGCGAAGAGCTCACCTGTAGGGCTGGTACCCGGAGGCAGTTCACCAGGTAGGGTTTGTTGGTCTCCAGCAGCGAGACAAAGGCGAGGAGCTGGTGGTGGCGGCTCAGCCCCTCCGTGGGGTCTGCAGGGACAATGAGGGACACCTCAGCTGAACCCCAAACCTCTCCCCGTCCCCAGAATTTGCCAAACCCCGAGGCCGGCAGCGCTTTCATCCGCCGGAGAAAAAGCCGGGGAGAAAGCAAAGCCAATTCCTGCGGGATTGGGGTTGTCCCACCTTTGGTCCCACCGCGCTCCGGTCCTTCCTTGGCGTGGAGGAGCTCCGGGCTGGTAGCGAAGACGCAGGTGGGATGAAGCACGACGCCCTGCTTGTTCTTGGTGTGAAAAATCTGCAGCGAGAGCAAAATAAGCATGGAGGGAGAGCAAGGGGCTGCCGGGGACCCCGGCACGGGGAGGACACGGACCTGATCGGAGTCCTTGCGGCCGCTGTTGAGCTGGTCGGGCACGGCCAGCTGGGGGTAAAGCCCCCTGCACAGCACCAGCTTGAGCAGGGCGAGCTGCGAGGAGGAGAGGGCTGAGCTGGATACGGCCTGGAGCTCCTCCACGTTGTGGCGAAGCTTAAACTTGACGTCCTGCAGAGAGAGAGAGGGCGTCAGGGGCCCGGATGGCCGGATCCTGCCTCCCAGGAGAGGAGACGGATGCGAGGGTCACCTGGATATCGATGCTGCGCTCCCCTTTCCCGCGGGTGCCGCCACCGTCGTCCTCCTCGCCGGAGGAACCGTCCGCTCCGTCCTGCAGCCGCAGCACCTTGCGCTTCCGACCCTCCGTCTCCGCGTGGGAACGCCACAGGCGGTGCAGCTCGCGGCGTTCCCGGTGCCGGCTCTGCCGGCTGTAGCTGTCGCTGGGCCGGCCGGAGGCTTCCTCCAGCAGCTGGTGGTCTCGGAGAAGCTCCTGGTGTGATGGGGAGAAGGTTGCTGAGCCCCCGCGGCCGGGAGACGGGCAAATTGGGGGCGCACGGGCAAATTCAGCTCTCCTCCGCACCAGCCATCCCCTCCCCGGAGCGAAGGCAAACCCCTTCACCGGATCCCGAGGCCGGATCCTTCCCCCCCTCACCTGAAACTGGCGCCGCAGGTTGGCGGCCTCGTAAAGCCGATGCTCCTCCAAACCTCGCCGCCGACACCATTTCCGAGAGTTGCCGCTCCGCTCCGATTTCACCTGCCCCGGGACAGCACGGCTCAGCCCCCACCAGCGACGGGCCGTCCTTCCCACCGCTCCCTGCGCCCCAAAATCAGCCCCCACCGCCTCCCAGCAGCCTCCCGCACGGATCCAAGCACGCCCCACCCCAAAACAGAGTCTCCCCGAACCCCAAAACGTGCCTCATCGCCCCCGCGACGGCAGGAATCCCACCTGGACCCACTCGTTGAAGAGGTTGAGCAGCGTCAGGGGGTCGCCGTGGGGGCTCTCGAGGGGCCGTCGGGCCGTGGCGCAGTCGGGGTTGGGGTGAGCGGGTCGCAGGAAGGGCGATTGCACGCTCAGCGCCGCCGCCACCGTCAGGGTGGGCTCGGCCAGCCCAAACAGCGTGCCCAGGACCAGCATCTTGCCTGCGTGGCAACAACAGTGAAGGCAGGGGAGGCCAACTCCTCGCGCCGTCACCTCTGCTTCGATTGGGGGGCCCCGAATCACTCACCGACCACCACGTCCACCGGCAGCTGGGCCAGCAAATTCCCGATGGGCGTCAAATCTTCGGCCTCGTCCAGGGCTCCCTGGTCCCGCAGGTACCGCACGGCCGTCTCCAGGCTGGAAGAGGGAGGCGGCTCCAGGAAGGGGAAGGTCCGGGGGTCGCCCAGCCCCATGCTCTTTAACTGAGAGAGAAACGCACGTCGAACGAGCCCGGCGACGACGCGAAGAGCCCGGAGGGTTACAAAGCCCCCCAAGAGCCGTTGCGCCCCGACGCTCGAGCCGCAGCCTGGTCTTGGCTGCTTGGGTTTCCCCAAATCTCCACCGAGGAAAGCCCAATTTTACCTGGAGCACCAGAGCATCGAGCGCTACGCGCTGGATCTCCGGCACGGGGTAGGGGGAAAAGGCATCATAGTCGGATTCGGCATAGAGCCGGTAGCAGACGCCGGGGCCGGTCCTGCCAGCACGTCCCTTCCGCTGCTCGGCGCTCGCCCGGCTGATCCAGAACTCCTGCAGCCGCTGAAGTTTGCCCTGAGGGTCGTAGCTCATCTCCTTCACCTTCCCTGGAGGGAGCAGGAGGGATGGAGAACCTCAGGGCAAGGCAGGAGGGAGGGAAAAGCCTTCCCGCCCAGCGGAGAGGGACGCCGGGAGGATTTTTACCAGAATCCAGGACGAAGCGCACGCCGTCGATCGTCACCGAGGTCTCCGCGATGTTGGTGGAGAGGATGCACTTACGGACGCCGGGAGGGGGAACGTCGAACACCTGAAGAAGGAGAAACGATGGTTCTGCATCAGCACGGCCGCCCCCAGAGCAGGAAAAAGGTAAATACAGGTTGCACCCATCGGTTGCGCCCCAAAAGCACCCACAATCGGGGCAGAGCCGGGCTGAGCTCTGGGATTTTTCGCCACGGTGCCGAATCCCACCCCGATTTCAGGGTCAAACCCTCGCCCACCTTGTCCTGCTCCGCGACAGAGAGGGTGCTGTGCAAGGGGAGCACAATCCAGCGCTGGGTGCGCTCGGCGTAAGCCTGCGCCGCCTCCAGCACCGCCCCGATCTCGGCCACCCCGCTCAGGAACACCAGCAGGTCCCCGCGTTCCTCCGGCGGGTACTTGTGGTCGATGGCTTGCAGCACCCGCAGGTACGGGAGGGGATCCAGGCGCTCCGATTTCCCCGATTTCCCAACTGCAGGCGCTTCTTCCTTAGGGATGGGCTGGTAGATGACCTGCAGGAGCAGAAACAGGGAGGACGCTGCCTCCAGCGAGAAATCCCGCGCCGGGATTCATCCCAAAAATCACCCTCCGTCCTCACCGAGATGGGGAAGATCCTTCCCGGCACCTGCAGCACCGGGGCACCCCCAAAGTACCCCGAAAAAAGGCGGATATTGATGGTCGCCGACATCAGCACCAACTTAAGGTCCGGCCGAGCGGGAAGGAGCCGCCGCAGGACCCCCAGGAGGAAATCGCTGTGCAGATGCCGCTCGTGAACCTCGTCGGCGATCAGGACGTGGTAGCCGGGCAGCGTCGGCTCCCGCTGCACTTGCCGCAGCAGCAGCCCCTCCGTCAGGAAGACGATCTTGGTGGCGGGCGAGCGGGTGCTCTCGAAGCGGATCTGGTAGCCCACCTGCGGCAGGAAGAAGAAAAAGAAGAGCAGAAAATTGAATAAAACCAAATAAAACCGAGTATTTCGGCTGGAAGGGACCAATCCCCTACTCCAACCGCTTGACCAAAAGCTAATGCGTGTCGTTAAGGGCGTTTTTCTCTTCAACGCCGACGGGCGCGGGGCATCGACCCCCCAGGAAGCCTCTCGAGGTGTCCGAGCGCCCTCTCGGCAAAAAAACGTTTCCTAATATCAAGCCTGAACCTCCCTCGATGCAGCTTTGAACCAGGGACCTCTTGTCCCTCCGGAGAGTCCGCAGCACCTCCCAGTTCAGTACCATCAACCAATCTGCACCCAGAGCAGCGATAAAAACATCTTTTTTTTTTTTTGCATATTGATATTTTCAATACTTTTTTTGACCAGGATTGGCCCTAAATTTCAACCCCGAGGACCAGCGCTGGTGACCGGTTGCCAGCCAGACGTAGCCCAGTTCACCACAACCCCTTCCTTCACCCAGTAGCACCCAGTAGCAGGGTGGGAAGAAACCAGCAGCGCCCAACAGCTCCCAGTTACCCCTAAACCGGCCAGGGAAACGGCCGGTCGCCAGCCCACGGAGCTCACCTGGTTTCCATACTGGTGCAAGCTCTCAAAGCCGACCCGTTTGGCCAGCGAGATGCAGGCGATACGGCGAGGTTGGGTACAAGCCACGTGGCTATAACCGGCCGCCAGCAAGAACTGAGGCACCTGCGTGGATTTACCGCAGCCGGTATCGCCGGCGATCACCACCACTTGGTTTTCAGCCACGGCGCGCAGGAGCCGGTCCCGGTACTGGGAGATGGGAAGCGCCGCTCGTTCCCGTTGGAGTTTGGCCAGTTTGGCGAAGCTTTGTTTTTGGGTGAAGTCCAGGTAGTGCAAAAAAGCGGTGCGGAATTCGGCGAGGCGTTCCTGGGGTACGCCGGAATCTCCTCGCCGGCCTCGGATCGTCCCCTCCACGTCGGCGCTCAGCACCGAGAGGTTGATGCGGTAGCGGGGGTCGTATCGGCGGGGGAGGTCGAGGCGGCGGGCGGCGGCGGGG